CTCCAGATATGCGCGCAAGATGCCAGGTCGAACCAGGAACGTTTGTCCAAAGCCGTGCCGAAGCTGCCCCAAACCAGGAGGACATCCGAGCGAAGCGCGCTCCCGACCATCCGCGGTGTAAGGACGTATCCAGCGAAAGTGCGCGCATACGAACACTAATCAAGCAAAGTGCGAGGACGTCTCAAGCGAAACCGGGCCAAAACCAGGCCAAACCAAGCAAAGTGCGAGGACGTCTCAAGCGAAACCGGGTCCAAACCAAGCCAAACTTGGCAAATTGCGAGGACGTCTCAAGCGAAACCGGGCCCAAACCAAGCCAAACCAGGGCCAAACCAGGCAAAGTGCGAGGACGTCTCAAGCGAAACCGGGCCAAAACCAGGCCAAACCAAGCAAAGTGCGAGGACGTCTCAAGCGAAACCGGGCCCAAACCAAGCCAAACCTGGCAAATTGCGAGGACGTCTCAAGCGAAACCGGGCCCAAACCAAGCCAAACCAAGGCCAAACCAAGCAAATTGCGAGGACGTCTCAATCGAAACTGTGCCCAAACCAAGCCAAACCGGGCAAATTGTGAGGACGTCTCAAGCGAAACGGGCCCAAACCAGGCCAAACCAAGGGCCAAACCAAGCAAATTCTGAGGATGTCTCAGGCGGGGCGCGCCGCCCAACCAGGCCCAACCAGGCCCAACCAGGCCCCAAACCAGGCAGATTTTGAGGACGTCCCAAGCAGAATCGCCCAAACCAGGCTCCATCCACTCTCCTTAATAAAATTCTAATTAAAGGAGTGGATCACCCCCTGGGCCCCCCCCCGCGGGCGGAAGCCTTTTAGAATTTTACGGGGGGGGGCCTTTGGATCGCGCACCCGCTGATGCGGACAGGGTTGGGCGCAGAAGGTCTCATTCGTCTTTCGGTTGTTGTTGTTGGGGCCCGCTGTGGCGTCAAGAGAAATGTTTCCGAGCCTGTACTACGAGTACTAGTACTACTACGACTACTACTACGACTAGTAGTACTACTACTACTACTACTACTACTACTACTACTACTACTACTACTACTACTACTACTACTACTACTACTACTACTACTAACTACTACTACTACTACTACTACTACTACTACTACTACTACTACTACTACTACTACTACTACTACTACTACTACTACTACTACTACTACTACTACTACTACTACTACTACTACTACTACTACCACTACTACTACTACTACTACTACTACTACTACTACTACTACTACTACTACTACTACTACTACTACTACTACTACTACTACTACTAATGCGACTATAACGGCTACGGCGACAACAGCAACAACAACAACAACAACAACACTAACACCAGCACCCGCACCAGCACCAACAACAACAACAACAATCATTTTACCCTCATGCGCCATGCTTCCACATGACACATGCATCCATCTGGATAACACACCCCATCATGGGGGATTTTTCTGGCATGCGGGATCCGATATTCCCTCACCCAGATATCCCGCCCAAGAAGGTTTGGCCACCACCTCTTCCGAGGAACTTCAACATCCATAGCTCGGACGGCACATCGCCTTCGCAATCGCCTTGCGCATGCCCCGCATCTCAGAGGGAGAGGAAGAGGAAGAGGAGGGGGAGATGAGAGAGATAGGGAGGGGGAGGAGGAGAAGGGAGGGGGAGGAGGGGGAGGAAGGATGAGTAGTTGTAGTAGCAGCAGTTGTTGATATTGTTGTTGCGGCTGTAGCACTAGTAGTAGTGGTAACGGTAGTAGTAGTCCAAATAAGTAGAAATGGTCTGTGGCAGCCAAGCGTTCATAGCGACGTTGCTTTTTGATCCTCCTTTAATGTCTTCTCTCCCTATCCTTGAGACGCTGAAGTCTCAAAAAGTTTGATGGTTCAGCACATCCAGGAAACCTATCGCTGGACCGGCCCAGATATGGTTCCAGAAGCGGCTCGGGAAGCTGCGCAGGCGCCAGAAGCAGAGAAGCACCACGTACGGGCGCCGGCTCGGGCGTCCGGCCCAAAGCCGCTCCAGAATCGGCCCAGGACGGCTTCCCGGGCGCCGCAAGCAGAAATTCACCATTTTCGAAAGACAAATGTGTATTGGAATGGCCTCTTTTCGGCGCGATCGGAACTGCCCGGGCGTCCGGCCCGGGAGCTGGGCCGGGTGCCGGCCCGAGCTCCGGAATCGGCCCGGACGGCCTCCCGGGCGCCGGAAGCAGAAATTCAGCATTTTCGAAAGAAAAATGTATATTGGAATGACGTTTTTTGTCGGCGCCGCCTCGGAACTCGATTTTCCGGCGCCCGGGCGCCGGCTCGGCGGGCGCCGACCCGGGCGTCCGGCCTGGGAGCCGGGCCGGGTGCCGGCCCGAGCTCTGGAATCGGCCCGGACGGCTTCCCGGGCGCCGGAAGCAGAAATTCAGCATTTTCGAAAGAAAAATGTGTATTGGAATGGCGTTTTTTCGGCGCCGCCTCGGAACTCGATTTTCCGGCGCCCGGGCGCCG